AAAGCAGTGCTCAGAGAGAAATTTATAGCTGCAAATGCCTACATTAAAAAAAAACAATGATCTAACCGTATAGCTTAAGAAACTAGAAAAATGAGAGCCAACCAAACTCAAAGCTAGAAGAAAAAAATAATAAAAATTAGAGTGGAGCCAAAATAGAAAACAATATAGAAAATCAACAAAACTAAAAGTTAGCTCTTTGAAAAGATCAACAAAATTGACAAAACTTTAGCTATATTGACTAAGAACAAAAGAGAAGAGACTCAACTAACCAAAACAATAAATGAAAGAGGGGACATCACAACTGACTTTACCAAAATAAAAAGGAATATAAAAGAATACTATTAACAACTATACACCAACGAATTGGATAACCTAGATGACATGGACAAATTCCTAGAAATACACAATCTATCGAAACAGACTCAAGAAAAAGTAGAAAATCTGAACAGACCTATAACTAGTAAGGAGATTGAATCAGTACTCAAAAACCTCCCAAGAAAGAAAAGCCCAGGACCAGACGGCTTCACTGGTGAATTTTACCGAATGCTTAAAGAGGAATTAACACTAATCCTCCTCAAATTGTTCCAAAAACTGAAGAGAAGGGCACACTTCCAAATTCATTCTACAAGGCCAGCATTATCCTGATCCCAAAGCCAGACAAAAACACTATAGGAAAAGAAAACTACTGGCCAATGCAACACAAAACTAGCAAACTGAACTCAGTAGTTAGCATAGTAAAAGGATTATACATCTTGACTAAGCAGGATTTATCTCAGGAATGCAAGGTGGCCCAACAGATAAAAATCAATAAAAATAGTACACCTCATTAATGGAACGAAGGAAACAAAAACACATAATAATCATCTCAACTGACTCAGAAAAAGCATTTCACAAAATGCAACACTGTTTCATGATAAAAACTCTCAACAAACTGGGACTAGAAGGGAACTTTCTCAACATGATAAAGGCCATCTATGAAACATCCACAGATAATGTCCTACTCAATGGAGAAAGGCTGCAGTATTTCCCCTAAAATCAGGTACAAGACAAGGATGCCTGCTTTTGCCACTTCTATCAACACAGTATTGGAAGTTCTAGCCAGAGAAATTAGGCAAGAAAAGGAAACAAAATGCATCCAAATTGGAAAGGAAAAAGTAAAACTAGCTCTATTCACAGATGGCATGAGCTTATATCTAGAAAAGCTTAGAGTCCACAAAAATGCTGTTTGAGCTGAGAAACGAAATCAGCAGAGTGGAAGGATACAAAATCAACACACGAAAATCAGTTGTATTTCTATACACTGGCAATAAACAATCTGCAAAGGAAATTAAGAAAACAATTCCAATTAGAATAGCATCTAAAAGAACAAAGCTCCTTTAACTAAGGAGGTGGAAGTCTTGTTCACTGAAAACTACAAAAATTACTAAAAGAAATTAAAGAACACCTAAATAAATGGAAAGACATCCCATGCACATGGATTGAAAGACTTTATATTGTTAAGATGACAATATTTTCCAAAGCATTGTACAGAGTCAATACAATCTCTATCAAAACTCCAATGGTGTTTTTTGCAGAATTGGAAAAACTCATCCTAAAACTCACAGGAATTTCAAGGGACCCAGAATAGCCCAAACAATCTTGAGAAAAAACAAAGTTGAAGGAGCTACACTTCCTGATTTCAAAACTTACTCAAAGCTATTGTAAGCAAAACAGTGTGGGACTGTTATAAGGATAAACATCTAGACCAATGGAATAGAATTGAGAGTCTAGAAATAAATCACTGTGTCTGTGGTCAACTGATTTTTGACAAGAAAGTAGTTGACTATGCTAACTACTGAGTTCAATGGGTAAAGAACAGTCTCTAACAAAGAGTACTGGGAAAACTGGATATCTAGGTGAATATCTTTTGAAGGAAGCTGGACCTTTATCTTACACCATATATAAAAATTAACTCAAAATGAACCAAAGATCTAAATTTAGGAACTACAAAACTCTCAGAAGAAAACATAGGGGCAAATCTGCATGACCTTAGATTTGGCGATGCTTTCTTAAACACCAACGCACAGACAACCAAAGGAAAAACAGAAAAATTGAACTTGGTTAAAATCAAAAACTTTTGTGCGCCAGAGGACGCTATGAAGAAAGTGAAAAGGTAACCTACAGGGGAGAAAATATTTGCATATATCTGACAAGAGTCTATCCAGACTATATAAAGAACTCTTCCAACTCAACAACAAAAATTATAATCCAATTAAATAATGGGCAAGAGACTTGAATAGACATTTCCTCAAAGAAGACACACAAATGGGCAATAAGCACATGAAAAATGCTCAACATCATTAGTCATTAGAGAAGTGCAAATAAAAATCACAATGAGGGGCAGACCCCGTGGCCCAGTGGTTGAGTTCGTGCGCTCCACTTTGGCGGCGCAGGGTTTCGCTGGTTCGGATCCTGGGTGCAGACATGGCGCTGCTCATCAGGCCACGCTGAGGTGGCGTCCCACATGCCACAACTAGAAGGACCCACAACTAAAATATACAACTATGTGCTGGGCGGACTTGGGGAGAAAAAGCAGAAAAAAAGAAAGATTTAAAAACCACAATGAGATTCCATTTCACACCTGCTAGGATGGCTATAACTTAAAAAAAAAAGAAAGAAAAGAACAACTGTTGGCAAGAATGTGAAGAAACTGGAACCCTCATACACTGCTGGTAGGAATGTAAAACGGGGCAGCTGCTGAGGAAAACGGTTTGGTATCCCCTTAAAAAGTTTAACATAGAATTACCTCATGACCTAGCAATTCCACTCCTAGATATATGCCTCCCCAAAACTGAAGACAGACTCAGATACTTGTACACCCGTGTTGATAGCAGCATTATTCACAATAACCAAAAGATGGAAACAACCAAAGTGCCCATCAACAGATGAATGGATAGGCAAAATGCGGTGTATGCACACAGTAGAATATTATTTGGCCATAAAATGTAATGGAGCACTAGTACATGCTACAACATGGGTGAACCTTGAAAATATTATGCTAAGGGAAATAAGCCAGGCACAAAAGGACAAATACTGTATGATTTTACTTACATAAAATGTCTAGAATGGGCAAATTCAGAGAGAGAGAAAGTAGGTATAGCTTAGCAGAAGCTGGGGGGAGGGAGCAATGCAGAGTTGCTGCCCACTGGATATAGAGTTTCTGTTTGGGGTACTGAAAAAATTTGGAAATAGGAGTGGTGATGGTTGCACAACATTCTGAGTCTCATTCATGTCACTGAATTGTACACTTAAAAATGGCTAAAATGGCAAATTTTCTTATATATATTTTACCACCACAAAAAAATAGTACAAAAAAAAAAAAAGAAAAAGAAATAGCTGAACTGATGGAAAATGCGAGATTGGGTTGGGGAGGAGGAGCTCGGAGCCCCTAGGACTGGAGCAAAGAAAAAAAGGTCTGCAGAAGTCAAAAGCCTAGAGACAGAGGAAATGACAAGGCTCCGAGAACTCTTGAAAGTAGCTTCCCCTCCACCAGCCTAAGATCCACCTTATTTTAAAGAAATGCTGTAGCTGCTTAGTCTCATCATTTAGTGAACAAAAACCAGAGGTGGGTTGTGAGGTGACGGGCTGGTGAGTGGGGCTCATCCAAAGGCGGAAGAAGCAAAAAGTCAGTTATTTAGGCAGTGTCCCCAGCCAAGACCACAAACCATTCAAGCATTGCCAAGTAACACAGAGCTGTTTACAACAGACATTTCTCCATCAACTGTTCTCTCAGAGAAAGCAGCTTTCTCTGCCGATGGAAATCCTCCCCTCTCCAAACCGGAATTCAAACGCCACCTCCTCCAGGAGGCCTTCCCTGATTGTTGAAGTTTAATAAATGCAAAATGGAGCATGTTTTGTGGTCCATCTTCAGTGTTCTCAGTTTTAGCGTAGAGCACTTCCAACCAACAGCACTTCGCTCAAGCCAGACATTGACTGGATCCCGAAGACATCCTCTTGACCCTTGCCTCCCATCTCCATCCTCTCCGGGAGTACCATTGCCTTTCCTTAAAGTGCCACCACCCCTTTATGGCTATCCTGGTCCCAGCTACTATCATCTCGCCCCTGGACCATCTCAAAGCTCACTGGCTTGTCTCCCTGCTTCTGCTCTTGGCCCCGTCTGTTATCTGTTCTTGCAGCAGCCAGTTTCATCCCCCTGCCTAGAACTTTTCTGTGGCCCTGCAGGATCTGGCCCTGTCTACCTCTCCAGCCACGTCTTCCATCAGTTTAACAAATATATCGTTTGCTCATGCTTCCTGCCTTTGCAAATATTAGTCCCTCTGCCTGGCATGCTCTTTCTTCTCTTTAACTGATTAGTTTCTCTTTACTCTTTAAAGCTCAACTCAAATGTAATTCCAGCAAATAAACCTTTCCAGATCTCTCCTCTCTCCCCTCCAATTATGACCAGTGGGAACTCCCACTCTGAATCCGTTCCTCTGTCCCAGGCTTGGCACAACTGTCGACTGTAGTCAGCAATGAGAAGGTCACTTCAAGGACGTGTATCTTTGTTCACCAAGGTGTCTCCAGTACCTACAAGAGTGTCCAATACATATTAGGTACTCAATAAAGGTTTGTTGCATGAATGAATGATCAAGGGATAGACTCTCCGCCATATGACCTTGGGAAAAAATCACTTAATATTCCTGATCCTCAGTTTCCCAATGTGGAAAGCAGGGTATGTAGTCCTTTCTATCAAAGTAATTTGTCTAAACTGCCTGGCACCCATTGGGCTCACAGTGCATGTTTGTTCCCACTCTTATGTTGAAGCGGTGAAAGCCAGAAGAAGCAAAATCATCCCTGGGTGGTGGGGGCTCAGGGAAGACTTTCCAGAGGAGGTGGCACTTGGTCTGGGGCTGAGGAAGCAAGGAAGTCCAGGCAGAGGGCACAGTCTGCACGGATGCTCAGAGGCTGGGGTGCACCTGGGTGCACGCAGCTGAGTGGTCCTCCTGGGCTCGGCTGCTCACCTTGCAGGCCCTCCAGCCGGAAGGTGCGGTGCTCCACGGACAGGCCGACTGCGCTGTAGGGCCCATAGCGCAGGATGACCTGCGCATTCTTGGGCATGGCCGGGCCGCCTGCCGGCGCTGCGGCGCAACACACACTGCTAGGCAACTGCCCGCCAGGTCCTTGAAAAGGGGCGTGGCCACGCGCGGGTGGGCGGGGCCAGGGCGGGTGGAGGCGGAGCTGGAGGATCCTGGCTCTCTGGTCCTTTGCCCGCTGGTGGGATGTCAAAAGGTGTGTTGGTGGCCTGGTGGTCGGAGGCAACTTGCTTTTAAGACCCTCATAGCCAGGTAAACATGGGATTTCAACCTGGTATGGCAAGTGTTAATGACAAATAACCACAGCCAATGTTTACAGCCAGTTACAGAAAGTACGTGTCAGGCCACGTGCTGAGTGCTTTCTGTGTATTATATCATTTAATCATTTTTCCATTTTTATGAAGTACGTTGTATTTTCTGTTTACAAAACTGAGGCGCAACCTTCCCAGGCTAGTCAGGGGTGTAGCAGGAATCGAAACTCTTGTAAGGTGTCTATGCATAGATTTCTTTTTATTTATCTTGCCTGGGATTTGAGATTCTTGAAAGTGTGAATTTAAATCCTTCATCTGTTTTTGGAAAAATTCAAGCCATTACCTCGTCATGTATTGCTTCTGTCCCGTTTTCTCACTTTTCAGGGACTCCAGTTAAACATATAATAGACCGTCTCTGTATTCTTTCTCTCTCTTCTCTTCTGTGTTTTTCTTTCTTCCATGCTTCTTTCCGGGTTGTATGTATGTATGTGTATGTGTGTATTCCTTCCTTTACTCATTCATTTTTACCTGTCGTCTAGTTTACTGATTTTCTTTGCGGTCATGTCTTAGCTGCGATTGATACCATCAATCTGGTTGGTCATTTCAGTTATTTATTTTTCGATTCTAGAATTTTAATTTGGTCCCTTTTCAAATCTGCTCTGCCACTTTTTACAGTTTTCGGTTTCTTGCCAAGTTTTTTAGGAGTCTTTATCTTCTTGATCATAGGAAAGATACTTATTTTATAGTCTGTGTTTGAGAATTCCACTGTCTGGAGACCTCATGTGTCTGTTTCTGTTGTTATTTCTGCTGGTTTCCATTCATTTAGTCGTGTCTCCTGGAACGCTTGCTTTATTTTAACTGTGTACTACCCATTATATGAGAAAAATTATTTGTAGGAAAATTCGAGGCCAGGGCTGTTGTTATCTTCCTCTAGAGAAGACTTTTTTTGTTTTTGTTTCTTGCCGTGTCCTGGTAGCACCAGCAACCTGGGATCATCTTAATACAATTTCAAAGCTTGAGATTTTCTGAGCCATCCAGATGGCTTGAAACTGGCTGCAGTCCATGTGGAGGCTGGTTTATTTATATTTTATCCTCATTCCTGTGGTGCACTCCTTTAGCATCCTAGCGCAAAGAGGGTGTGGCTTACCAGGGTTCCCTCTTGGTGGTGCTGGACTCCAATTTTTGTATGTCTGACTCCTCAAAGACTCAAAAATTGCATCTCATCTTCCAGGTTGCCTATTCAAGATCACTAGATAGCCCCAGAGGAAAAGCATTTCCGGCACTATGCTCTCCCTGGTCTTGATCCAGTTAGCTCTTTTATGATGTCCAAGAAGATTTAAGAAAACATATATGCCAGATTTTTAAAGACGTCTTCTGTAGGAAGCTTAGTCTGAATTAACTAGTCTGTCATTATCAGCAGCAGAAGTTACCCTGTTGTGAGTTTCACGGGTGTTGCATTGAATCTAGACATCAGTTTGGGGAAAGCTGATGTCTTTCTGAGGCCTTCCTTCCTATTCGTGGTCTTGAAATGTTTCTCATTTATTTAGATCTTCTTCAATGTCTTTCAATACAGTTTATAATTATCTGCAGATAGGTCTTCGTGTCTTTTGTTAGATTTCTTGCTAGGTTCTGTTGTAAATCCTGTATTTTGTGTTGTGATTTTTATTGTTTGTTGCTGGTGTATGAAATGAAATTGACCTTTATGTAATGATCTTATTTAAGCTACCCTGACCTTTTTAAATGATTTCTATCAATTTATTTGTAAATTTTGGGGGGTTTTCTATATAGACAATCACATTGTCTACAAATAATGACGGTTTTATTTCCTTTATTAAGCCTTCCTATTTTTTTTCTCATCGTATTGCACAGGCTAGAACCTCTACTGCAATGACGAATAGAAATGGTAAGAGTGCATATCCTCTCTTTATCCTGATTTTAAAGGGAAGGGAACATTTCCAACATTTCCCTATTTAGGTTGATATATAGTAAGTTTTTTGTAGATGTTTTTTGTCATCTAAGTTCTTTTCTAATTCATTTTACCATGATTTTTATTTAAAAAATTATAAATGACAAATTTTTATGAATGTGTTTTAATAATCTATCCGAATGGTCTTATTATTTTTATTCTTTAAGCTGTTGATGAGTAAATGACATTTAGATATCTTCTAATATTAAACTACCTTGCATTCTTGGATAAAGCTGATTTGGTCATGAGTGTATTACCTTTTTTATATGCTATTAGAATTTGTTGGCTAACATTTCGTTTAGGATTTTTGGATATGTATGCATGAGTGAAATGAGTCTTCAGTTTTTCTTTATTGTGTGTCCTAGTCTGCTTTGGATATTAAAGTTGTACAAGCTTCAGAGAATAAATAAGGGAGTATAGAAGAAGAAGGAATATCCCCTTATTTATTTTGTATACAAGTGAAATGATCACTTCTTTGAACGTTTGGTAGAACACGTCTATAAAATTTTATGTTCCCCCCTTGCCTTGTTTTCCTGAGTGGGAAGATTTTAAAGTACTGTTTCAGTTTGTTTAAGATTTAGAAGACTCTACAGAAATTATGTTTCTTCCTGCATCAATTTTAGTAAATTATATTTTTCTAAGAATTTTTCTATTTTTATCTAAGTTTTCAAATTTATTGGCGTAAAGTAGTTGCTGTATTCTCCTGTTACCTTTTTAATGTCTACTTTATTGTAGATATGCCAACTTTTATTTGTAATATTATTTATTTCTGACTTTCTCTTTTTATTTTATTGGTTTTACCAGAGACTTGTCTATTTTGTTAGTCTTTCCAAAGAACCAACTTTTGCTTTGTTTGGCTTCTTTATTGTTTTTTATTTTCTTCTTCATTGATAGTTGTTTTTATCCATATTACTTTCTTTGAGTTTACTGTTGGGTTCTTTTTGTTACTTTTTAGAGTTACACTTAGTTCATCAGTATTCAGTCTTTCTTCTTTTCTGATATAAGTATTTTAAGCTATAAATTTTCCCCGAAGCATGACTTTTGCTGTATCTCAGAGGTTTTGATATAAGATATCTTTATTGTCATTCTGCTGTAAGGATTTTTACATTTCCATTATTATTTCTTCTTTGACTCATGAGTTTTAGATGACGTGTTTCTTCAATTCTGGAATATTCCTAGCCATTTTCTCTTTGAATAGCGCTTTCCCCTGCCCGTCCTGAATTCTCTTTAATCTCTCCTTCCTGAACTCTTACATGTATCTCCTTTGTATTTTTATTTCTTTACAATGTTAGACATATCTGTTTTATAGCTTCTCTCTGTCATCTATTCTCTCCAGCCTTTCTGATGTTAATTCTCCTGTATACTTGCTGCTTTCCCTCCTGTGAGCCATTTCTTGTGCTGTTTGTAGTTTTTGACTGTGAGCTCATCTTGAATGGAGTCTTTTCCCTCTATGGGAGCTTGGTGTGTCAAGGGTTGTGGAAAGTGGCTTTGTATTTGATTCTGCTTGAGGCCCTTTGGATTTCACTGATCCAGGCAATTATTTATTTTTTAAAACATTATTGGCTTGGAATTCCTGCTTTACAGATAAGTTGTATAAATTCAGATTCCACATCCACATACGACACAAGTTTATAGTTTAATTTCTCATGGATGTCTTTTTCCACCATCTACAGCCATGAGTGTTGGCACAGTTCCTTGATGCTCCCCTGGGCTGATAGGAGGGGTTTTCTAGTCCTTTTCACAGGGTTGGGACACCCCTTTGAGGTCCCGGTTTTGTGCGAGGAGGTTAGCTGCATCTCCCACCTCACATGGCAGAGGTTACGTCCTCTCACCTTGCAGGGGTGGTAAACCCCACTGTCAGCCAGAGTCTGTGTCTGGTCTGATAAACCTTTAGCTCCCACTCCCTGCTCTGTTTTGGACAACTTTCCTTTTTTCTGGAATGTGAGGATTTATTTCTTTTGAACTTGACTATATATTTAAAAGAATTTCCTCTTTTGTGTATGTTTTAATAGGTGTATCAGCTTGGCCTGGCATTTTGCTGCTCCTGAATATAAGAAATAGAGACCAAGGACAGAACCCTGGGGACTGGTGACATATGTGGGACAGAAATAGGAAGTGAAATCCCACAAGATGGAGGAAGCAGTAGGAAAAGAACAAGGAGAGAGTTGGTCCTTAGGAAACAAGGGAAAACAGAGCTTTTAGAAAGGTCTTCTTGTGTGATGTGAGGCCAGCTTTTCCCAGGGGTGGCATATCATTCATCCTACAGACTTAAGAGGCCTCTTTGAAAGGGAAACATAAAAGCAGGGAGATCAGCTGAATTTTCTTTCTTTCTTTCTTTCTTTTTTTTTTGGTGAGGAAGATTGGCCCTGAGCTAACATTTCTTACCAATCTTCCTCTTTTTGCTCGAGGAAGATTGTGCCTGAGCTCATATCTGTGCTTGTTTCCCTCTATTTTGTATGTGGGACACCACCACAGCATGGCTTGATGAGTGGTGTGTAGGTCCATGCCTGGGATCTGAACCCAGGAACCCGAGGCCGCTGAAGCAGAGTGCGTGAGCTCAACCACTATGCCACCAGACCAGCCCTGAGATTGGCTGAATTTTAAAGGGAACCCAAGGCACTCATTCTCCCCCCACCCCAAGCAGAACTTCTTGGGTGTAATTTGGAAACTTCTGGTCACTCTTGTGAACTTAGGAGGGACCCATCCCTGCATTTTTACCTGAATGTACCAGCACCCACCCCACAGGACCTTCAGAGACAGCAAGGAGCAGGTGGCATTATTGTGTAAGTAGGGGATTGGGGTGCCTGTCCATATTCTTCTCTGTTGTCTACTTCTGGTTATTTTGGGGCCATGTGTGATATATGGGGTAAATAAGAGCAAACCCACATTACTTTGATCCTGTTCCTTCCTATCCTCTCCATTCCTCCTGGAAAAGTCTCAGCCATTATCTTTTTGCATAATGCCTTTTCCGCATCCCAGTCATACAAATTCGTACAATTTAAGGGTCCTTTTAGGGTCTGATTGGAAAGCATTTGGGCTTGCATTTGGAGGCATCTCAGTCCTGGTTCTGTGGATTACTGTGGCCACAGAGGGGGTCCTGCAGCTTGAATATATCTTTGTCCTGTGCAGGGTGAAGGAACCTGTGTACTCATGTACCTGTGAGCCTCCAATAAGAATGCTAGATTTTTACATCACTTCCTGGGTTTTTTTTTATTATTATTATTAATGTTATGATAGATTACAACCATGTGAGATTTCAGTTGTACATTATTGTTAGTCATGTTGTGGGTACACCACTTCCCCCTTTGTGCCCTCCTCCCACCCACCCCCCTTTCCCTGGTAACCACCTATCAGTTCTCCTTGTCAATATATTAACTTCCACCTATGAGTGGAGTCATATAGAGTTCGTCTTTCTCTGATTGGCTTATTTCACTTAACATAATACCCTCGAGGTCCATCCACGTTGCTGCGAATGGGCCAATTTTGTCTTTTTTATGGCTGAGTAGTATTCCATTGTGTATATATACACCATATCTTCTTTATCCAATCATCAGTTTCTGGGCATGTGGGTTGGTTCCACATCTTGGCTATTGTAAATAATGCTGCGATGAACATAGGGGTGCAAGGGACTCTTGGGATTTCTGATTTCAGGTTCTTAGGATAGATACCCAGTAATGGGATGGCTGGGTCATAGGGTATTTCTATTTTTAACTTTTTGAGAAATCTCCATACTGTTTTCCATAGTGGCTGTACCAGTTTGCATTCCCACCAACAGTGTATGAGGGTTCCTTTTTCTCCACAACCTCTCCAACATTTGTCGCTCTTGGTTTTGGATGTTTTTGCCAATCTAACGGGTGTAAGGTGACTTCCTGGGTTTTTAAATAATGACCATCTTACGTCACCTCACCACAACCCTGGAAGTGCGTAGCGCTGATGTCAACATCCCCATTTTACAGATGAGGAAACTGAGAGCTAGCGAGGGGAAATGACGTCCCCAAAGTCCACAGCAAGTTGGAGATAGAGCTAGGTTTATGGTCTAGGCATCCCATCTCCGAGCCTGGAGCTTCCCTTCCACTCCATTCTGCCTACACATGTTGTGCAGGCTTAGGTGGAGATGCCCATCTGTATACCCAGGTTTCCACCAACCTGACCACAAACACCCCATGAAGGCTCTGTGCCCCTCACCCCACCCCATGGAGGCATGCCACACACTAGGGGAGACGAAGTTCCTTCCTCCTTTTCACCCCTGGCCCCTGTATCTTTCAGACATTTGTCGCTGCTGCTGACAGACCTCAAACAAAGCAAAGAAATTGTTGACCCACCTCACGGAATTTACAACAAAATGTTTATAGCATTTCTGGGTAGAAACAATGGCCAACTCCATCTTTCTTGGCATGACTTTTTATTGATTACAGACTCACAGTCTTGAAATCATCTGAATATAGTGCTTTCAATATATGGTTCTTTGGTCATACATATATTTCTTTAAAGCACAAAACTATAACTTAAAATTGAAAGGCTATAAATACACATGTACATATTGCCATAAATCTAGAACTATCTTATAAAAATAGAACTCAAATATCAACTTTATATATTTTGGCAACTTAGCAGTATTGTAAGGTGGCCACATACATTTTTATTATGCATCACTGTCCCAAAATGACTGTCTCCAGGTTTCATTTTTCATCTCTCTGGGGACGCGTGGAACAGTCTCCTTTCCCGGGGTCCCCACAGAGATGCCTAGAGCCGTGGCTCAGTGTTGCCTTTGCATAAAGACTCAGTGCACCCACCTGTTCTTGGAGCGGGAAGACCAGCTTCCAGCCCCTTCCTCGGAGAGAGGAAGTGTTCCGTGCTGCCAAACGTCCACCATCCACATTCTCAATGCCCTCACAGTGCGTGCTTGATATCTGAGTATACAGGGTCAGTTCCTGTCCCTATGCTCAGAGGATGGCAGAGGGGAGTTTGGTTCTGTCAAATCAGTGTAAAATGTTTGAAACAAAAGTCACCTAAACAATGCCTGCTGGAGTAACCCCATCCCGACAGTGGGCACCCTGCCCACCTGCTCGTGTAAGGCCCTTGACACGCGTGAGCCACCATCCTCACAGCCTCACAAGGTCCGTGCATTCCTGCCCCCATTTGACAATGGAAGGAATTGAGTCTCTGGGCATTAAAGTCTCTTGGCCAAGGTCAGCAGGGCTGCCCAACCCCAAAACCAGAGCTCTCTGCCTGCCCGGAAATCCATGGAGGGAACCCAGCAGACAATTCGGATCTGCACTGTAGTCACTCGGGAGAAGAGATGAGTGGCATTGGGTCAACTTACAGCAGGTGGACAGCAGTTCCCCAGACATCCCTAGGACTCTCGGGCTGCCACTTCTCAAGGGGAGCAGGAAGATGGATGTCTGAGGGAAGAAGCGTGGACCCACAGACCAATGACTTGCAAGGGCAGCATCAGAATCTCCCAGATCCTTCAGTAGAAATCCTCAGTCTAAAACCAGGGCTCAAGAGGTCACTGCCTGGGGCTGTTTATGTTTTCAAAGAGCTGAGCAAAGGTCGAAATGCCCTCCCCATGTCAGCCCCACCTGCTTCAATATGGGTCAAAGTGCGAGAGCCTGCACAGAAGGGACCCATGCAGGGTCCCCGGGCCAGAGTGGAGTGCTCAGAATGACACAGAGCACAGCAGGATTGCGGGGGGTGGGGGGTGGTTGGGGTTGCAAGTGATGCTTTTTCAGGACCCTCCCCACCCGCCACAGGGAGCACAGCAGAATTCAGAACTCCAGTGATGGGAGCTGAGCTCTGCGCCTCCTCCAGGCAGAGGCAGGTGCCTCCGCTGTTTGCAGCTTAGATTTTTCTGGTTGCTTTCCCATTCCCTCACCATTTTAGATTCCCCATAAAAATATGCCCCAATGGGAAGTGCCTTTCACATCTCTTCAATGATCACAGCCTCTTGGGACAATCTCAACTCCGGCTCTGTGAACTGTCTGCCCCTCCGTCGGGGGCAGCTGTGGACGTGGCCATTCCCTCCCCCCAGCCCGGCTCTCCGCCGGCTGTCCCCTCAGCCGCCAAGGCCAGCAGAGAGCCCTGCTCTGGGCTCTTCCACGTGGATTTTAGTCAGAATCCCTGGCTAATGACATCCTCCACATAAAGGAACCCACCTGTCCAAGGACATCCTGCTTGGACCACTGAGATCATTTTCTGAAATTGATGTCACAATGGTTTCCTTGAAAGCCTCTCTTAAGAAGGAACAAAACAAAACAAATCAACAACAGCAGAAAAGCCCGAAGCAACCCTCTCTCTCTCTCTTCTTTAAAACGCAGATCACCTGTCGGGGTGTGTTTTGTGTGAAGGGGAGTGTGAAAGCAACCAGAAAAAACGCAAGTGGCAGGGTCCCTGGGGAAGTGGACTGGTCCTCCCTCCGTCCCTCTTGCTTGCCGGGGGCTGTGCTCTTTATTCCTCCTGGATTGTCCCCGATGCCCCCCGGGAAAGCAGAGAGCGGCCACAACTCCAGGGCACTGGCAGATGATTTTCTTTCCCTTTCAGAATAGCCAGACCAGATTTTCTGAACTCAATGGAAGGCTGCCCCTGGGAGGCAAAAAGAGAAACATGTTTGTGGGCCCAGGTCACTCTATTTTAAAGGAACTGGGGCTGCGTGTGTGTAGGGGATGCGGTGCTTATGGATCTGCGTGGCGCAGAGCAGGCTATCCTGAATGCCGTGATCAGACTGCTTTGAATCTAAAAACAAAGCCCCCTACTCCTCCCCAAAGAAAAGAGGAATGACCTGGAGCTAGCCTCTTTCTTCCTGATTCATTTAGGTACATTGCTCGTAACAAGGTGACTCATTCTCTGACTGGGCAGAAACATCACCGGGACACGCCAGGTCCTGCTGGGTAAAGCAAACACTGACATTAAGCTTCTGAGGCCACGGAGGGAGGTCAGCCTGGACTCCCCCACCTCACCCAGGCACCTCCGAGCCAGGCTGGTCCCATTTCCCAGTGCACAGGCCAGAGGGCACCTTGATAAATAATGATGATTCCCGTGCATAATGAGGGCCACTTTCCTCCCAAGACTCCAGCTTTGTGGGGTGCCTCAGTGCGGTATGTGTTTTGGGCCCTGAGGACAAGGGAGCTACAGAAAGCTGGGGTGACGGTAGGGAGCAGGGGTTCGGCAGGGTCAGGCAGCTATGGAATGCTGGATTTGGGGAGGTGAACCCTAGTGGCGGGAGTCAAGGGTGGTGCCCCTGGCTGGGCCTTGTTGCCTTCTCTTTTGTGGCCAGTGGCTTGCCCGCGGCAGACGGTGGCAGACTGCAGAGGGCTCTCATGTCCATGAGGCTCTGTTCCACAGCTTTCGCAAACTTAGCCGAAGAGGTCTCTTTGCAGCCGTGAAAGCTGGAGATGCAGAAAAGGATGCTGTCCGGCTGGGGGTTGTAGCAGGCCCCGTACCCGTTGGGCACCACAGGACCGTAGCAGCAAAACATCTCCATGGTCGTGGGCACCTGGAGGAGAGGACAGGTCAGAAGCTGCTTGTTCTGAAATGCCACTGGAGAGCCTGCTGGAGTGCAGGGCGTTCCGGCAACCCCGGGGGCCTTGACGGGCTATTCGCTTCTCTGACTATTTTCCACCTGGGCATTTGACTGAATTAACCAAATCAATTGATTGCTTCAGCATGGATGGGCACAGCCAGAGTCGTAAAAACAACCCTGTCTCACGGCACACCATCAGAAGAAGGGAGGCCATAAGCCACTCCCTGGTGTGACATCTGCTCGACTTGTGGCGTCTGAAGCTCCCAGGGTGGCCTGGGGCTGGGGCTCAGGCTGAGTCTCTCCTTCACCTGGGGGCTGTTGGAGGCACCGAGGCAATCAGGGTAATTTACTAAATGGCACCCGGGTGGCACCCAACAGTTAGATGTCTTCCCAGAGGGAGTAATTTATGAACTGGAGGAAGTCTGGCCCGTCTTTTCTGTCGATTTCCCCCACATCCTTAATTACTGTCAGTATCGCCTGGCTGGTCTGATCTTCTCTCCGCAGCCTGGCCATGCACAATTACCCAGCACTGGGCCTTTCAGAGATTGCCATCAACTGGAATTTTAGTTAGGTACCTAGTATGTTTTGAATCAGAGTGCTGAAATTTTGTAATCTGGATCCCAAACCAAGAAAATGTGTTTCTGAAGGCATTGAAGCCATAAATGTTCATTAAAAAAAAAACAAACCACCACACCCTGAATTAATTTTATTAGCTGGGCTCAGGGGGAAAAGAGAACACATTCTTGGGCAGGTGACTGCGTGGGTTTGTTTTAAACCACAGGCTTCCGGTGATGTGTACTCGGCCCGTCAGAAATGACACTGGCCGTTTTAATGGGGTAGAACAAACCATTAGTCTTGTTAATAGAGTCACCTCATTGTCAGATAAATTTGCCGTGCAACAGCCGAGGGCCATAAAGCCATTCCAAAGCGCTTTTTGCCCATGGATGGTTTCCTGAAGAATTTATGTTGTTGTGTTCTGCCCTCGTTTATTCACATCTGCAAGCTCACTGCCCTAATGACAAAATCAAATTACTGAGTGGGCTTTCATCCTCAAACACAACTTTCTCCGTCTCTTTTATTGCCCACGTCCAGTCTTTCACAGATGAGGTGGGGTTGTAGTAAATTGATGTTGGCGGGGAGGGGGTGGTATTTTCTCTCCCAAACTCCTGTCTTTCCCTAATGGATTTCATTCTGTCGTTGTGACAGTGGCCTTCCAACCGGGCGAGCCTGCAGCACTGGGTGGAGACACTGGACTGACAGCGCATCGCCTGCTGTGGGTCCTGTGGCCCTTTACAAGAATCCTGTGACCTGTTTGGAGGGCCCTGTCCATGCCAGGCACTGGGCTGAGCTTTCTAGAAACCTACATCGTCGCATCTAGTTGAGCCAGGACTTCACTCAGCCTCTCTCAGGCTTCAGGGCCTGTGGGCACCCCGGTGGAACACCACCTCTCAGGTGACAGATTGAAAGGTAGTGAGCATAGTGGTTAGGGCACAAGAATGGGTGCCTTCTTATCCTGTCCACCTCTGCTAAGGTGGTGTCCATGGGTACTCCCATTTACAAGATGGGGGAACCAGCCTCCTTGCATGTAGGGCATTTTGCTAAAGGTCGCGCAGCTCGTAAGAAACAGAGCCAGGACTTGCCTGACTCCAACCTGTAGTCCCTGAGCTCATTAGAAAGTCCTCTGGTTACACTAAGTGGCCTCTCGGGTGACGGCCACACTAGGGCTGTACCTGGCTGGTGGAGAGGATGAACCGATTGCTCATCAGGTATGTTTCATCCGTGAACATCTCGGGCAGCTCCTCGCACAGGTCTCGGGCCAGCTCCCGCAGCCCCAGCAGGTGGTTGTCAATGGCCATCCCTGTGATGGCCTAGGTGGTCA